AGAGAGAGAGAGAGAGAAAAAGAGAGAGAGATTTATACTCCTTGACACTAGACATTCTCCTAGTGCTAGAGTGTCTGCGCCGCTCTCTTGTATCATATTCTGTTTCATCTCGGCTTGGTGTAGACCCCTGTTTTATTTCATAACCTTCATCTGAGTCATCGCTCCATTGAGCAGCCTCATGTGATTTAAACCTTGAAGTGCGACTCCTGCAAGTCACACGTTATCATTCTATTCATTTCTTTGTTGGGGGAGAGAGAGCGAGAGAGAGAGAGAATAATTTATACCCATTGACAGTAGACATTATCCTACTCCTAGAGTGATTTAGCCTTTCTCTTCTTTTATCATATCCTGCTCCATCTCGGCTTGGTGTGGACCCCCTTTTTCTTTCAAAATCTGCATCTGACTCATTGCTCCATCGAGCAGCGTCACGCGATTTAGACCTTGAACTGTGATACCTGCAAGTCACACTTTTCCATTCTATTCATGTGTTGGTTTCTGCGTGGAGGGGGGGGAGGGGAGGCGAGAGAGAGAGAGAGAGCAAATACCTTGTTTCATTTGATGTTTTCCTAGAGCTAGAGCGCTGAAGCTCTGAATGCTTATCATATTGCAATTCTTCCCAGTAAAGTGAAGGACCAAATAAGGCCTCCATTTTCTTAATCCAGTATCTTGGAGGCTGGCTATCCCAGTCTGCCCATTCGTAATCTCCACCAGGGTTGCAAAAACAATGAATAAAATTGCAAGCACTTCCACGAGAGCAAGTCTGATACAATAAAGCCAAGATCAGTTTCTCTTACAGAGCAACTATGAAAGTTGAAACAAAAAATCAGGTGATATCCAAAATCTAATATATAAAGCATTTACTTTTCAGTCTGAGCAATCTAATATCACAATCAAAATCATCCACAAAGATATGCCAGGTTTCTATTGAAAATTCACGAGATTTCAACTATTTGACCATAAAGTAGAAGAAAGAGCATAAGCTGATGTAATATTACCTTGTGCCTTGATTTCATGTATTCTCCACATATTGCAACCTTCCATCGGGTCACTCCAACAAACTCACATGTTATCTGCAGAAAAATACAAACATTTATTTTTCTATTGGTAACAAAATTAACCAATTCGTGTGTGTGCATGTGAACGTGTGTGAGATAGACCCATTCCTACAGGGGGGACTTGCGTCATTTGGAAGTTCTGCCAGTTAGAGATCTGCAGGGGACACCACACACATGGAGTAGCATTTTGGAGCTATGAATCCAAGGAGAGAAGTGGTGAAATTACTAAGGTCAGCTTAATATCCTTGGATACAGCATGAAAGAAATTGGAATTCTCATGGGGATTTATTCATCAGAAATGTAAGACAGCAGTCCAGTTTTGGTGGCCCACCAATCATGACTAAATGTATTTTTTCTTACGTACGAGTCATCGAACACTTTAATGAAACATTCGATCCACTCCATTTCTTAATGGCATAATATGAAAAAAAAACCAACAATCTGCTACTAAAAACACTAAGAGGAAAAACTATTTCAAAAGCAATCAAGAAGCACTACAAGGCCTACAACTGTAATCCATCTTGATCCCTACAACTTGGAAGGTAATCCAACAGAGATAGACCTAATCTTATCTAATATCTTCTTGACTAAAAGTCTTATAAATGTCTCCCTACCCAGAAAGCCATAAATGAGGAAGCAACAGAACTACTAAACCATAACAACCCCCATGAATTCGCTGTACAAGGTACATTTACAAAACTACCCCACCAAACCTAGCATAATCAATCTATCCTAGATATTGCGACATTGAGGTTACTCCACATTGCCCTGCCAGATACTGAGCAATTAAGTGTAGCTCCACATTACCCTGCCGCGATCCATCTCTCTCTCAGTAGTGTGACATTAAAGGTAGCAACACATCCCCCTGCTACACCCCGTCTCTCTCTCTCTCTCTACAACTGAAAGCCTAGCAGTGCCATAGAAGCGGGGAGGAAGATTACCTGTTTTCCACCAAAGTACCGGCCATTGATTGAATTATATGCAAGAATTGCAGAATCCAGGGACCTATAATGCACATAAACATTGCCACGGAGATGGGAAGATCCATTTCTACAAACCTGGACAGATAAATTGAAACAAAGAAAATCAAGCGGTCAGCTACCTTGAAATTGTTATTCCATCTACTATGACTAATCGTCAGCAGAGATCAGCTACCTTGAAATTCACAATTTCCCCAAATTTCAAGAACTCCGTATGCACATCTTCATAGAACTCTTCATAGCTTCGTTCCATCTCTTCATCAGTGTACTGTATAACAGAAGCAAGATTAAATCAACAGAAAAATATAAAAAGGAATTCTTTTGTCAGAAATTGCCCACATCCTCAAGTTATACTTATATAACGCATATGTCTCACCACTAGCTGTGGAGTCTAGCTTACACTTCCCCACCCTCCTCTCTTCCGCCTTCCCCCCCCCCCCCCCCCCTCCCTCTTCCTACTTCCTAATACCTTACGTAGTGCTTTAACAGCCACAAAGAAATGGGAAGTCCACCATAGTTCTCGAAGTATGAAAAATTTTACTCTATACTACATCCATAACCTCCTCCCTCAGTGTTCCCTCTTCATCCATTACAAATTGCTGGACTTCCTTTTAAGGCTAGTGTATTAAGCCCGGCTTAATGAAAAGCAATAGCATTCTACCATAACACGTGTACTTATTTCAGACCTGTACAAGTGCATAAGCATGACAGCAAAGACCATATGACCAACAGGGTTAGAAGTTTGTAGGACAGTGTCTAATTAGTGCCTTTACTATCAACTACAGCAATTCACCGATTCGCCTTTTTGTGGCAGACAGTCGTTCCTTTCTACCAAACACAAGCATGTCTGGATCAGCTTGCAATACACACCATCAGTGACTCTCAATGAGGCAATCAAATTATGAAAATCCATTAGTAAGTAAATATTAAAATATGGTGAGCCCTCTCGTCATATCTGAAGATTAATGATCAGTAAAGGAGTCATTGTTAACGAACCATACAGCCCAGTGTTTGCAAAGCTGGCCAGGTCGACACGGACCTGGCGGGTTACCTGGAACTGGCCACTGGCTGTGGCTGGTTTTGGCTGGTTATGGTGGTCAAGCAAGGAACTTCAAACAAAGTAAAAAATCCAAAAAAATAAGAAATTTGTTTGTAATAGGTTTTTTAATGTTTTCTATTGTTTTGGAAAAGACTGGCAAGTATTTTGGCCACAAATACTTATTTTTACATTTTCCCTTCTTTTTGGATTATTTCTGAAATACTCCTAGGCACAAATTGATTTTTCAAATCCATTTTTCACTACTTTTTTAATCTCATTTGGATGTATTTTGTTTATTTATACCTGAAACATACTTTTCATATTTTTTGGGACTTTTTTTAGTCTTTTTTTTTAACTTTTTAACCCTTTTTAGCCTGGCCAGGACTTGTGCCCAGTTAGGGCTGGATACCCGGTCCAGTTCTGGGTTACCCAGACCAGGCCCATGGCCGGATTCTGTTCCCAGGTCGGGTTTTCTAACACTCATACAGGCTTTCTACAGTTCTTTACCACTTTGTGGCATCACATACAATCTAAAGAATATGAAGAGAAGCCCCAAGCGTGTCTAGAAACCTCATCTTCCAATATTGGTAAGTTTGGTTGGAATGCAGGAGCACATTTCACATATCTGGTTGTAACAATCATCAAAGTCTCACTAAAAGATTATTAATATTAAACCTAGGGCTAAGGCTAGGATCTGTGGCTTCAGCCCAACACAGTGAATGATCGCTCACCAACAGAAGGGGATTTCTTTGATAATCGCCAGAAGCTATGTAAAAGACGAGACTGTAAGCCTCAATAATCCTTAAACCTTTCTCATTTGGTAGTGCATAAAACGTGAACCAGCACCTGTGATCTTGCTAAAAGTGGAAGTTCCACGTACGTGAACATTCGCATTAAAAACAAAGGCAGCTGCTTGCTAAGCTGGTATACCTAAGAGCCGCAAAGAGAAGCAGAAACCGTATGATTTGTGAGGAGGGTTGAATATTGAATTTTTTTTGACAGGGTTGAATAACAAAAAAAAATTGACATGTTTAGGTCTTTTCTATGGATAAGAAACTCTGATAAGCAATTGTTGCAAAAATTCTTCCCAAAATTTTCCCACCAGGAAGTTTTGCAGTACAGAGGGCTACATTTCTGCCTAATAAACTCAGCTCACAAGTGATATTGCCAAAAGTGTGATATCAAATATGAACTGTATCTAGAAGGCACCCCAAGACACAATGATTACTATAAATAATGTAGACTATTGATGTCACTTATCAAAATAAATGTATACTACTGATGTCAAAATTTGCTTTTGCATGCATTAAGACATATATTTGTTTGATCTTCTTGAGCTGAGCTCTAACCACTGTGGTGTTTAAAACGTATATTGTTTTTAAGTAAATAGTTTCATGGTTGCAACTGGGAAGTCTGAGATCCCATTGTCATCATGTTCAAGCTTGGAAGCCTTAGGTTTCATTGACTCATTATCAACAAGACTCCTGTGCACAAACAACTAGAACCAGGAGAAGCAGAAAGCCCTAAAATGGTCATGAAATAATAAATCTGACTTTTGTTAAATCGTCAAAAAATCATAAAACAAGTCAAAGTATTCGTGAACCATCAAAAAGAAGAAGGAATTACTGAAACACAAAAAAGAAACCAGTTATTAAGATGTCACTGTTGCAATTCTACATTCCTTCTCTACAAACCTAGTGAATAAGTTTGTTCTATATATTGATGAGAAAAGTTGTACTATATATCCAAGGATACGAATTATGTCTTCCATTGTGCATAACCCTATGTTATCAAGGATACGGATTATGTCTTCCATTGTGCATAACCCTATGTTGTAACCTAATCATGCCAACCCAACATCACTGTATTTCTCAATATTTTCTTTATAATTGCAGTATTTTCAGCATTTAACATCCATCATCCACACACATTGACAAGAGTTCTTAAAACCCTCGTTTTAGCTGGTCAATTAGGAAAAAGTAGCACATACAAAGTTTAAAGACATATACCAGGTAGTCTAGCAAATAGATGTTATCTATGATGAGTAAATTACATTGTAATACTGTTGTTTAATGCATACCATATAAGCTTGCCTCGCGAAAACCAGATTGGTACTTTGCAGTACTTTGTATAAATTCAGACCATATGAAAGAGTGGGAGGCATCTGGAAGAATTACTTCAACCTTAACTTACAGAAAGGGCAGACCTACTAAAAAGTCAAGGATTTAACTCTCTCATCAACTCAAGCACATATGCTTATAATCCCCCACAACAGTGAAAATACCCATCCGGCAAGAGGGTAAGCAGCAATGTGCCAAAATCAGATGATTAAATAAACACTATGGTACTTAGGAACTCAAAGACCTGAAAGTTAAATTAAGAAAACCACAACAAAAAGATTCAATTATCCCATTAATCCACGAAAAGCATTCCAGTTCAGGATACAGCATGGCTTAACCTGTCAGTCTCCATCCTCAGCCATGGTCCAAACATCGGATCTCCATTGAGGTGATCATTGTATATTTTCTGAAGTAAATTCAGTCAAAGCAGAAACAATATTCCATAAAAGAGAGGACCTTACTTTATGTTGAGTCTACAACAAGAAGTTAGAACTTCAATCTAGGTGTCATTTGACAGGAAAAGAAAATGAAAAATAATTTCAAAATTAAGAACATAGAGTTGAAATAAAGACACATTCTGATGGTCAACAAGGCAACTAATGTAGGCCAGTCATGGAGGCAAAAAACACTCAAAATGCATAAAGGACAGACATCCATGAACCAAGAAATTCAATTCGTACACGCTAACACAAGTACTTTGCAAGGCTCAGTAAGTTAAATGTGAACAAAAAGAGCTATGGCCAAAAGAAAGAGGAACATACATCTTCCAAAAGCATGACTCAAACTTCTAAAGTTTAAAAAAAAGATGGATGGAAGTCCTCGATGAAACATAACTTGTTTCATTAATACAAAGCACTCATGTAGAAAATCCAGGCAGATAACTAAGCCAAGAGGCAGTCCAGGTTGAATAGGGTTGATGAATGGGACTTACGATCCCACCGTGATAAATCTAGGTTGCTGAGGTGCTCTTCCCAAGTTATATGCTTCTTCAACTCCCATTAATAGTCCTTAAAATAGCATTACTTGTTAAAAAAGAAAAGGCAAGAAGAAGATAGCTATGCCATGAGTAGGATACAATATCAGGCACATGAAAGCAACATTTTACAGACCTCGAGCCCTTCATCCTGTTCCCAGGCCAGCCCAGGTCCATTGTACATATTCTTTATGAGCAATGTGCAAGATTTATCTGGGTAAAAATGCACCCTACTACACCGGGTCCCAAAACGGCAAGTCCCAGTTTTGAGGTGAAATGGACAGTGAGCTTTATCCTGCCAGTAGAAGAATTAACAAGAATGCATGTGAGTGGCCTCAAAACAGAGAGGAGGGGAAGGATGGAAGCAGAGAGAGAGAGAGAGAATCAAAACTAAGAATTGCCCCAAAAAAAAAAAAACAAAGTAACCCTAGGATCATAAATGTTGCACAAGAGAGTATAAAACATGGATATTGTTCGTTAAAACTATGATGAACTACAGAAAAAGAATAACGAAATAGACAGGCACTAGGAGGCATCTGAAGAAAAAAAACAGAAGAGAAACATTAAAAAGACAATACAAACCCAAAACATAGAATGTAAGGAAGGAGAAGTTCAGTAATGCATACTTGCTCAGTTCCAAAGTTTGGAATTTGTTGGGCAACACTTTCAATCGTCTGGAGTGGGAGGGACTCCATCTTCTTGTGGTCAGCAAAAGCCGCAGACTGTGGAGGAAGAGGATTAAACTTAGGCTTGTCGACATCCTGTGAACATCGAAAACATTCAATATAAAGTAATAACAACAACAGCAACATTAATATTAATAAACGAAACCAAATGCACACGTACACATGTACATGCATTTACACAAAGGAGTATAATTTATGATAAATTACAATGGCAAAACATTTTCTAGTGCAGTAGACCATGGAAACCCATAGTTCATTGGGCTCAACACCAGCCACTGGAAGACACTAAAGGTGGACTCAGTTATCTCTTCATCAACACCCATCCTTTCGTTGGACAGCGATAACCCCAAGTTGGACTACACCTTTTCAGAGTTCAGTGAATTATAATATACCTCCCCACATAGACAAACATGCTAGTCACTGAACCTAAGTATGCATTCTCAAGTCCAGAAATTAGGAATAAGTGGATTTATTTCAACATTACAGTAATATTACCTCTTGGATTTTTCCCTGGCTGCTATTTCTCTTAGGCACCTTGATCCTTTTCTTTCTCACAATAATCTCATTCCCTTTCCAGATAATTTCAGCTGGACCATCTTCAACATACTCCCAACTATCATTTTCCTCTGCCCCATTATTATCCTGATCTATCTGCCAAGAGATTCAATAAACAGTTGACACACTCTTGCAAAATACAAAAAGGAAAAAGGAAAAAAAAATGTACATATATCTTCTCAAAGTTGAGCTTGGAAATTAGAAGTTTCTTGAGTTTATATTAAAAAAACTAATGCAAATACCAAATAGCGCCCAGTCATGCAATGTACTGAATAAAAAGTGAGATTCAATTTACTAGAAGTTATTGAAGCTGTGACCGAATATGTTCTCAGGTTCTAATGAAACATGATTTGAGAAATTTACTAGCTTAGGAAAACTAGGTATCAAAAGCGAAACTAGAAATTTTATGTTTAAATGAAATATAAATACAGATCAAAAGGTGAACATTTTAAATTATCATCTTTTTTATCATCAACATTTCACTGATCAAACAACAAGTATACATGAAGTCAGACTTACTTCAGGTAAACACAGTGTACATGAAGTTCTGCTGAGAGAAGTGACATCTTCGAATTTATTTATATAGACAGGAGAAATAACATGCTTATTGTATATTTATAACAGACTCAATGATAAGTGTCAGTTTCAGACATCAGCGTCCTGACACAGCAAGGGTCTGAGTCCAATTCCGGGACTCGGCAAATTCTCGAGTCAGATCAGGCTATGTTTAATAGAAAAGGAAAACATTAAATTAAAAATAATAATAAAACTGGAATACCAAGACTCGAGTGATTCTGGATTTTCGGCCCCAGAATCACCAGCCCTCTCAATTTGGTGTCCTCAGTCGAATCCCGAGTTGGTAAGGCGATTCTTGAATCGCTTATAAGTATACATGACTTGTGGCATGCACCAAAAGTAATATAAATGACACCAATAAGTTACTGAGGTATCCCTAAGACAACAAGCATGAATTTTTCTAACTCCACAAGTTGGAGAGAACATGTATGTAGACCCAAATTGATATGCATGCTATTGTAGTTTTTAGTTAAAACGACCTCAGTTGAAATACATTTTCGCTTAAATCAAACAACGCAAAAAAAAATCATAATTCAAGAGGTGCTGTACTCTTTCTAATGTGATAGCATTCCATCTCTGTGTGCTTCTGGCTTCTCATAAACTTCATAAGTTGGTGTGAAACTCTATCTCTCTCATATATATATATAACAACAACTTAATAAATCTATAACATACAAAACTCAGAAATAATTGAAATTCTCTTTCTCCAAACACTAACAGAGACAGCTATCAAAAAATAAATCAGAAGGAAGGACAATAACATTAAAATTAAATAATTCTAAGCCAGAAAAAAACCAGAACCAAAATCTGCATCAGCAGTAAACCAAACCTGCTTCCTCTCTGATTCTTCCAAGGCTTTCCTCGTTTCCTCTTCTTCTGCCCTCTTCTTTGCAGCCTCAATCCAAAGCCTCTCTCTCTCATCAAACTCATTTCTCTCTCTTTCCAACCTTTCCGCCTCTTCCTGCTCCCTAACCCTCATTCGCAGCTGCTCTTCAGGATCATTTGCCCTAGCCTCCTCCTCTTCCCTTTCCTTTAACGCAGTCTCCTTTCTTAGCTGCTTCCTCTTCAACCTTTTTACTGCTTTCCTCTTCTCTTTTCGACACAAACCAGCTAGGGTTTCAGCCGCCGGGATCTCACGCATTTTTGCCAGAACATAACCAGAATCCGAGCTCGTGGCGGGAATCTAAGGCTATTTGGCCAGAATTTGAAATAGCAATGCCAGAAACTGATATTTGAAACGTTTTTGCAGAAAAACGACTGGAATCTCTCTGATCATTGCCGGAGTTTCTAATTTGACCTGATACCTTTGGTATGACTGGAAGCCGAGCGAATAATTAACTGATCGGTATCGTGACCTAATTGTGCCGGAACTTTGCAGGAAATGGCCAGAACTTGTTTTCCGGCCCGCATTTGGAGGGAAACAGAAAGGAGTGAAATAAGGCGTACTTCCAAGTTTTGCCGAAAGAGATACCTCTGGTGTCAGAAATGTTCAATGTAAATTAGAAATCTATGTTCAACTCTAATTATAAAATTTGAAATTTTAAGAATATTATGAATAGAGCACATTATATATATATATATATATATCTAAATTTTAAAAATAGGCAAATCAGATAATTCATAATAAGATATATTATTTTTAAGACTCGAAATTCACTTTTTTTTTTATTTTTTTAGAAAAAATTTATATATAAGGTTAAAACTTAAAACAATCGAATTAAGACGCACTTCAAAAATTCCCTAGAAAAAGTTCTTTTGATGTCAAAAAAAACCGTCAAATTGATCGTGATCTCGAGATGTATTATCTGGGCAGTCAATTTTTAATATTTGTAAGTGTTTATAGATCTACTTGATCTACACTATTTTTTAAGTTTTAACTTTTATAATTAGAGACGAAACTAAATTTTCATGCAATCAAAAATATTTTTTTTTTACGAAAAACTCATCTTTGGATACTATTTAGAGGTACTTTGATTGTTTAGGCGTCAATTTAATACAAACCACGCTCTTTCCTTTATATCCATATATCTCAATGTTGAAATGATCCATTGGAATTTTTTCTAGCTTATGAAAATTGTTTTCTACTAGATTTTTGAAGTACATCTTACTTATATAGTATATAGTTGCAATCTTATATAAACATTTTCCCCTTATATAGTATATAGTTGCAATCTTATATAAACATTTTCCCCCAAAAAAATAGGCTATTATGTGTAATATAAAACTAAAAAGTGGGCTAGGCCGGTCCCAAAAGTATTTCAGGCCTACAAAGCTCAGCCAAGCCCGGGCTGCTACCTTGTCAATTGATACACATTAGCACAACAGCCTTTGGGCTAGCCGTTGCATGTTGCTTTCGAGCCCTTGCTTGCCGCGGAAACCCGGCCCAAAAGCCGCAAGTTCCACTGGCCCAAAAGCCGCAAGTTCCACCAGCCAAAAACAACCGCAGCCGTGTACAAAGCGTAGCAACGATTATCTCCAATAATGTCAAATTATTTTTATTTTGTACACAAAAACTTACGCCTGCACAACGAGAAGCCCAGATGCCATCTTTTAATTCCACTTGTTTTTTTTGGGCAAAGAAGTTCTCCATTTACCCTTAACTATAAATTTTTAATGTTTAATTTTAACATCACTTCAAGTAATCAACCGCGTTTCAAATCATAAACCCTGTTTTTCTTTAATAATTGATAAATTTTTTTAACTTTTTTTATTTTCTAGTAACTTTTTAAGGGTTTTTAGTGCATTGTAATACCATACATATGTAATTTCACATCCACGTATCATATTTGTAATTTATTTTATATTATTTCACTAGAAAATCGATCTACATAAATATTATTCTTTTTTCAATGTCTGCCCTGATCTTATCTTAGAAGGGACAGTGTGTTTGATTTTTAGGGTGTCTCTGCGAGGCAGAAGTTTCGGCTTCAGAAGCCAAAACCTCTACCAAACAAGCTCTCAGTTTTTTTATTCAAAATATTAGGAAGTAATATTTTATTTTCTTTTTCTTTTTCTGATCATGTGGTTATTGAGCTCAATTTAATTCACACTTCAATCAAAATCATTTGGTATATTGTTCCCCAATACTATCTTTTTCTATTTTGTGTATTTCTTTATCGTTTTGAATATCGAGTATAGGGCTGACAACATGCTGAGCCCGACCACTTGCCCTAGACCAAACTTAGGTCTCAAAAGGCCTAGGCCGAGGTTCCAAACCTCAGACCGCCTGGTTTGTGTGAAGATTGTACAAGTAAAGTGGTCCAAGGTCAGGAAGTGCGGACTGATTCCTGGGCTGTGAAATTCACATACCAAATATCGGTCAAAGGTTTGTACCCTTGGACTACTTGACATGCACAATATTCACATAAGCCAAGTGGTCAGAGGTTTGGAACAACAGACAGATCCTTAAACTAAAATTCATAGTCTGGGGTACCGATTAGAGGTTCCGAACCTCATACCACTTAGTGGCACATACAGTCGCATGATCCAAACCTTAGACATGTCACTTAAAAAAAAACTGAAAGAACAAAAAAGCACTATGATATCTATAACATCAGACAAAAGACAACATTAGAAAAAAAAAAAAAATTGACCTCCACATAAAATTTGCAAAAATTTAGACCTCCGCACGATTCACTATTTTACTTATATTGCGGACATAATTTATCCTAAACTTTTTCAAAGTAGAATTGTCTAGTAAAATAGAACATGATGTGTGGTTATACCAATGTTTGACTACGGAGTCGTGCCGAATACTTGGGCTTGGCACCCTCGAGCCCAAGTTAGCTCGAGTTGGGTATCCCTCTCGGGGATACTAAAAACATATTCAAAAAAATCATAAAAAAAATAAGGAATTTATTT